GCCCAACCCCTGCCCCTGGAAACAGATATCCGCCAGCTGGATGTCAATAACCCCGCTGAATACACCTTCCATTTCGAAGTCGGTATGAAACCCGAGTTTCAGCTTCCCGACCTTGGCAAAGCAGCGATCACTGGCTATAAAGTAACCGTGACCGAAGAAATGATCGATAGCGAAATTGCCCGCCTGCAAAATCGCTACGGTAATATGAAAGATGAGGATACAGTGAACAATGACGAAAACGTATTAAACGTATTGTTTACCGAAGTGGATGAAAATGGTGCTGACATCGCCGGCGGAGCAACAAAAGACAACTCTTTATTATTAAAATATTTTAAGGAAAGCTTCAGAGCTAATCTGCATGGAAAGCATGTAAATGATTACATCGTAGTGCAATTAGATGAAGCATTTGATGAAAAGGAACTTGATTTCATCGCAGGTGATCTCGGCCTTGATAAAAATGATCCGGCCACTTTAAAGAAACATTTCAAGATCCAGATCACTAAGATCGGATTGCTGGAAAAGAAAGAATTAAACGAAGAGTTTTTTAACCAGCTTTATGCCGGCCAGGATATCACAACTGTTGGCGCCTTTCGCGATAAGATCAAAGAAGAAATTGAAGGCTATTGGAAAAGCCAGGTGAGAAACCAGGTACAGGACCAGATATTTCACCAACTGGTAGACCATACGGAAATTAGATTCCCTGAAGATTTTCTTAAGAAATGGCTGAAAACGCAGGGCAATGCGTCAGCTGAAAATCAAAACCCTGAACCCAAAACAGACGAGCAGGTAGAAAGCGAATTCCCAACATTCCTCAAGCAATTGAAATGGACACTTATCTCCGATAAGATTGTACAGGATAACGCCATCCAGGTTAATCCCGATGAGATCCGTCATTTCGCCAAGCAGCAATTGTTCGGTTATATGGGTGGCATGGGAGCAACAGCCGAAGACCAGCCCTGGGTAAATGATTATGTAGAAAAGATGATGAAAGACAGAAAGTACGTGGAAGATGCGTACACCCGCATCCAGGCGCAAAAAATATTCGAGTGGGCAGAAACAAAGGTTAACCCGACTGAGAAACAAATCAGCGCAGAAGACTTCAGTAAAATGGTCGAAGAGCACCAGCATCATCA